CACGTATCTGGATACGGGTGTAACCTGAGGAAACGAAGATGGAGAGGGAAAAAACGCCACACGAAGTCCACAACAAGAGCCAACCTACACATTGTAGTTTAAAATGGCTAGAAGACCTCGAATTTTCAAGGAGACATATAACCATAAACACGCGGCCGGTTATAGTCACTTGCTGTGGTACTTCAAGCCCAAAGGATCTACAAAGATTGGTGAAGCCAACCAGCAGAAATACGTATCGCTCTTGTTACCTATCCTATTTTCTGCTCGAATCCACTTTCCTTCTTTTTGCGGATTTTGGCCACTATTTTCCTATTTTTGGTTATATACCTTTCTCCGCATGATCATTTTCTCTTTGTACATCCTTTGGGCTTGAAGTACTACAGCAAGTGGCTATAACCGGCCGCGTGGTTGTGGTTAGATGTTGCCTTGAAAATTCGAGGTCTTCTAGCCATTTTATACTACAATGTGTAGGTTGGCTCATGTTGTGGACTTTGTGTGTGATTTTTTTCTCTCTCCATCTTCGTTTCCTCAGGTTACACCCGTATCCGGATGTATGGGCATGTGTATCTACTTTTGTAGTAACATATGTGCATTAATTTCGCGCCTGATGAAGCCAACCAGCAGAAATACGTATCGCTCGGGTTACCTAGCCTATTTTCTGCTCGAATCCACTTTCCTCCTTTATGCGGATTTTGGCCATTATTTTCCTATCTTTTGTTATATACAGGTGGCCAAACCGTCGTCTAAAAAAAATTAGATTCCCCACATCGAGGACCCAAATCATCCATATATGGTCCGATTTTGTTTAGTTTAGGAGTTATGATTTTTTTTCGGATTTTTCGAGAATTTTTGAGTTCTGTGTTTATTTTTACCATAACTTCGTTAATAATTGTGATAAATGCCTGCTTTTTTCACGGTTATGTAGCTAAGACCTAAGGCTTAACTATCATATAATCATTCAAGTCATGTAACTAATACTACTTTTTAATTTTTTTCAAAATCTTCGAACATAACAAAAAAGTAAAAAAGTGCAACAACTTTGAACGTTTATAAAAAATTGAAAAAACATGTTCTTACTATTCGTAAGTATCTTAAAAACTTCCTTACGGTATCAGCTATTTACCGTAAAAATTTCATCAACCTAGCTTTACTACATGCTACCGTAATTGTGGCTCAAATAGAACCGAACCCAAAATTGGATAACCCTCTGCTCAATAGAAATTGTTAGTTTCGGAAAAAAATTTGCAAAAACCACAAAAACACGTTTGATTTTTACTGAACAGCAGATTATTATTCATTTATGTTATTTACAAGAGGTTTCAAAATGTCTGCCTCTAACAGAAATGCACAGTGTACACCTACGTATGAAATTTTGTTTTAAATCTCTAAATGCTTGTGTGTTGTTTTTCAACACATGTGTCGCTTCTTGAATTTTGTTCCTCAATGAATTTTCATTTGCACATTCTTGGGCGAATGTTATGTCTTTAAAATATCCCCAAACAAAAAATCAATGGGGTTGAGGTCAGGGGAGCGTGGAGGCCATCGTATCGGTCCGTTTCGTCCGATCCATCTGTCTGGGAACCTTTCGTTTAAGTAGTTTCGCACGATCGTTGCGTTGTGGCATGGTGCACCATCATTCTGCAACACCATGTTCCGTCTGGCTTCCAGGCTTGAATCTTCCAGCAATAATGGTAGGCTATTTTCAAGGAAGCTTTTGTAGGCTACCGAATCCAACCTTGACGGCAGTTCAAATGGACCGATAAATTCCATATTGAATATTCCTGACCACATGTTCACACTAAAACGGTGTTGAAATGTCGACGGCCTTGACTGGTGGGGGTTTTCAACAGCCCAAGTATGTAAATTATGGATATTGAATATCCCTGTTCTTTCAAAACGTGACTCGTCAGTCCATAAAATTTTATCAAAAAAATCGGGATCCTCTCGTTGTCTTCGCAGCATTGTGAATACCACGAACATCGATACAAAATATTCTTCATGAAGAAGGTTATCATGCCTATCATGTTCAAAGAGTTCAAGCGTTGATGCCTTCAGATTACCAGCTAAGAGTGGATTTCTGCGAGACAATGCTGCGAAGACAACGAGAGGATCCCGATTTTTTTGATAAAATTTTATGGACTGACGAGTCACGTTTTGAAAGAACAGGGATATTCAATATCCATAATTTACATACTTGGGCTGTTGAAAACCCCCACCAGTCAAGGCCGTCGACATTTCAACACCGTTTTAGTGTGAACATGTGGTCAGGAATATTCAATATGGAATTTATCGGTCCATTTGAACTGCCGTCAAGGTTGGATTCGGTAGCCTACAAAAGCTTCCTTGAAAATAGCCTACCATTATTGCTGGAAGATTCAAGCCTGGAAGCCAGACGGAACATGGTGTTCCAGAATGATGGTGCACCATGCCACAACGCAACGATCGTGCGAAACTACTTAAACGAAAGGTTCCCAGACAGATGGATCGGACGAAACGGACCGATACGATGGCCTCCTCGCTCCCCTGACCTCAACCCCATTGATTTTTTTGTTTGGGGATATTTTAAAGACATAACATTCGCCCAAGAATGTGCAAATGAAAATTCATTGAGGAACAAAATTCAAGAAGCGACACATGTGTTGAAAAACAACACACAAGCATTTAGAGATTTAAAACAAAATTTCATACGTAGGTGTACACTGTGCATTTCTGTTAGAGGCAGACATTTTGAAAACCTCTTGTAAATAACATAAATGAATAATAATCTGCTGTTCAGTAAAAATCAAACGTGTTTTTGTGGTTTTTGCAAATTTTTTTTCCGAAACTAACAATTTCTATTGAGCAGAGGGTTATCCAATTTTGGGTTCGGTTCTATTTGAGCCACAATTACGGTAGCATGTAGTAAAGCTAGGTTGCTGAAATTTTTACGGTAAATAGCTGATACCGTAAGGAAGTTTTTAAGATACTTACGAATAGTAAGAACATGTTTTTTCAATTTTTTATAAACGTTCAAAGTTGTTGCACTTTTTTACTTTTTTGTTATGTTCGAAGATTTTGAAAAAAATTAAAAAGTATTATTAGTTACATGACTTGAATGATTATATGATAGTTAAGCCTTAGGTCTTAGCTACATAATCGTGAAAAAAGCAGGCATTTATCACAATTATTAACGAAGTTATGGTAAAAATAAACACAGAACTCAAAAATTCTCGAAAAATCCGAAAAAAAATCATAACTCCTAAACTAAACAAAATCGGACCATATATATGGGGGTGATTTGGGTTCCTCTCGATGTGGGGAATCTAATTTTTTTATGATGTCACGTGTTTGGCCACCCTGTATATGCCTAGTTTCCGAATTTTTGAACAAGTTACATATACGAGTATGTATTTCTCTTATGGCCTGAAATAACCAGAAAGTAGAAAGACTTCCACTAACAAATTGTCATATTATTAGGTATTCACTCCCGTACTACGTAAAGAAATAATTAGCAACTCCGAAAACATTTAAAATATTAAGTTTGTTGACTTGTTTAAATTTACCCTTTTCGCTTGCTCCTGCACCACCATAGGTGAACGAATTTAAGGTGATCTGACGTAGCAGTACCTTTGTGTGAAAGTTCCGTGAGAATCCGAGCAGTAACTTCCGAACTAGATGATTGGACGACCTCGTAGCTTTTTCGCTGAAGTTGTTCACACATCCATATACGGAACCTGATTTGTATCAGGGGGGCAATCATCGGCAAGAGGTAACTTTTGTAACTTTTTTTGAAAGTGTCACTGAACAAAAACTTCTTGCAGAGCGCGGGTAACAAATTTTCCCAGAGGTGGGGAGGGGGCAAATCCTAAAAAAATTTAAAATTGTACACAAAATCACGTTAAATATGCAAATTCTAAGGTCCAAGCACGGCTATCATGTAAAAAACCTACAAAACGTCAAAAAAAACCTATAAGATGTCAACTTGCAGACTAGGTAGTTTTTAGGGCGCAAACAGTCATTCCACGTTTGCTCACGAGGATCGTTGTGAACGTCCATCTGTGGAGGAATCACTCAACTAAACTACGGATTATTGGTTTCATAGCTTTGTGGGGCTGAGTGATTCGGGTCTGTACCTTTTATCTCTGAGAAGAAAGTTGGTTGAATAGGAAATCGCATCTGGATGATTATGTGAATTGGTCTGCATGTGTATAAAATCAGTGATATTTGCTGTGTGAGAAAATCATTACTGAATATGCCGAATATGACGGGTCATTTATATGTTGTGCTTTCTGAAGAGAGGTTATGTTCGAAGTTATAAATTACAAAAAACTGAGGTGAATTGCGGGAAATCATCACCGCGCCCGCGTTGTGTGTAATTACTGTTAGCATGTATATGGCTTGTAATTTGACAGTGTACAGTGAATATAATTATTTCTTATCGCTCTCATTTTTGAAATTCAGCAAATGTGTATATGTAATTTGCAGAAGGGATAAGAAAAAGTGGATGCGCAACTAATTAGCTTTGAATCTCAATTAAGTGTATTTGAGACAAAAACCCAATGTAAGTATCATCAACACATACAACTTTCAGCATAGACCTCCAGTAATGCCATCTCAGAAGCAGATTTTAAATCATATCAAAGCCAAAGATTGATAACAAGCCTCATGACGTTTAGGCAACATGCTCAACTAACTGCTAAGTTGACATCTGGTAGAATAACCTAAATAATGTCAAAAAACCAGCATAATATCAAAAAAAATCGGCATAATGTCACTTTTCAAGATACGTGATACCCGTGCGGATTCTGCTGAAAAACAGCTCATTATAATGTTTTGACATGAATTCTAGATATGCTGGAACATCGATTGTTTTCGGTTACAATAAACAACCACAATGCCAATTCCAGCGTCATTATTAACTTTTCTGATGATTCGATAAAATATTCTTACCTTACAATTTTTTCGGGGCGATTATGATCTATTATGCAAAACAAGTCACATAAATCCTCTTTCATTTTTAGCCATCTATGTAGTACTGGGTCCAGGACCTGTCGTTCTAACATGTCCAGCTTGTAATACTAGGGTGACGACTTACACAAGAACGGCCCCAAATCCGATGACACATTGCTTAGCAGCTTGTCTTTGTATTTTAGGGTGAGTACAAACCTCCTAATTCACATCAAAAATGGCGTCAAGCAGATTGACTCTATACTTCCCACGACTTCGTTCAAATTCGCAAATTTTTTAAGTAGAATGGATCGTGAACCTCTACATTTCAAACTATATAAAATAAATCCATCATATTTTTGTTCCAGTGGTACAGTGAGAGAACGTAGTCAGTTTTTCTGGAAAATTTTAATTGGGATTAGCAAACCAGCTACCTGTTTTATCAAACTGTTTAATTGGTTTAGATAATTTAGTTTATGTAGAAAAGGTACAATTAATACAATTAAACATGTTAATAAAAATAGTTAAACTGTTTATTTGAATCGACGATTCGGCCCTTCATTCGTGACGAGTTTCATATTCGAATGTTGCCGTTGCTGGTGTACGAAGTCTGTGAATTATGTGATCAGACTGACAACGTAGCTTCGATCTAGCAACAATGGAGGCGTCAGGCTTGGAGGGGAGACAGGGTAACATGTGATCCGCCTTCTGTACAAGTTTGAACTCGCTCGAGACATTTCGTTGTCCGTAGCGATTTTTTTTTTGTGAAACAGTTAAAAGCATTCAAACGGCTGTAACCGACCAGCTGAATGCTATTCCAGTATCGGAGTTCCAGAATTGGTACGAGGTCTGTAAATTAAGTCATGAGACTGGCAACGTAGCGTTCGATCTGGCAACACTGGAGGCGCCGGGCTTGGAGGGGAGACAAGGAAGCATGTGATCCGCCTTCAGTATAAGTTTGAACTCGCTAGACTAGCTGAAGGCTATTCCAGTATCGGGTTCCAGCACTGCTATGAGGAGTGGCAGAACCGTCTCCAGCGCTGTGTGGCTTCTTACCCTACTGATCGAAGCCGTGGCAAATGCTTGTTTCAAAAAATGTTGTATTCAGTATACAACTTTGATTGTACACGCGTTAAGGAACACCTCAGTACCGATTGCTGGGTGGCGGTACAAGTCCACCAACTGGCCACTTCAGATCTATTTAACATAATTGACATGCAATAAGAAGGTGGTAGCCAAGGACCAGTTGACCGAAGCTGTACCACCTAGCTTCAGGGTGTCCGCAATTAAGGATGATGGATCCCTCGAGTACTAAGAATTCCGGACGTAAGCTTACTCCTCTCTCGGAGTCTCCGGGTGGAGGGTTGACTCGAGGGAACAACATCGAAGATAAAATTTGTTTTACGAAGATCTGTGGGATTAACAGCAACATTTATGCTGTTCATCACTACTTGCAATCCAATCGTCCCGCAATGCTTTTCTTGGTGGAGACAAAAATGTCAGATCCTTCGCCGATTAACCATGTTAGGTTCCCAAGCTACGAGGTGCACTCCAATCTGAGAACGAACAGCTTTTGTTCGCAGCAATCTTTCCTAATCCAGAGACGTTTCTGCGGAATCGGGCCGTAAGGACATTCTGTGGCTTCGCCTCAACTCCAAAAAATCCCCCAAACTTATTCCCCCCGCTTCAGATGCAGTTCTCCTGGGTGATTCCAATGCCCATAATGAGCTTTGGCTGGGCTCTAATAAGATCGGTGCAGCAGGTCATGCAGTTCAAGCGTTCGCTCTCACTCTGCACCTCGTCACATGCCATCAGCCTGCTCAATCAGTTTCTGACCACACATCCTGCCCCTTACAGCACTACTGTGCTATCCCCCCTGCGTTACTCAGACCACGGTGCTGTGAAGGTTAGGCTTCGGTCAGAGCCCGCTGTGGCAGCAGAAACTCGCCCAGGCCTGCAAAATTTGGCATTACGGACATGTCGACTGGGAGGGGCTCAGAGATTTATTCTCTACCTTTCCTTATAGAGATGTTTGTTTCGCTGATGCGGATGCGTCGACTGTCTGTTCTTCGATAACCGAACTTATCCACGGCGGGATGTAAGAATACATCCCTCATACAGTGAAAGGGCCTAACCGGGGTCTAACTGCTTGCCAGCAAAAGATCAAGGCACACAGAACCTTTTTACAAAACCCCACTGTAGAGAACAGGCAAGCTGACGTTCATTCTCGAAACAAATATAACGAAGCGGTTCGCAATTCTAAAGACCAGCAAAAGTTAGGCATAGCGTAATGTCGCAACGGCAGTGGCAGTCGGTCTTTCTTGACGCAGATTGGAAGAGACTTCTCGCACAGTAGTCTTCCACCACTCACGTGTCAGGATGGAACGATTGTAACAGACTCAAAGGTCAATGCGAAGGTGCTTACCATGCTTCTGGTCCGGACTTGATTCCTGCCATTGTATTGAACAGGTGTACAGCGGAGCTTGCTCCGGTTCTTTCGCGTCTCTTCCAGATATCTTATGAATCCGGCACCTTCCCAGAAAACTAGAAATTTGCTCATGTCCAACCCATCCCAAAAAAAGGATCTAAGACCGACCCTTATAACTACAGGCCTATAGCTCTGCTTTCTGTTATAAGTAAGGTCATGGAGAGGTGCATAAATCGCGAGCTTCTGGACTACCTCGAGGGTCACAGCTTGATTGGCGACAGGCAGTATGGTTTCCGGCACTAGCGACACATGGAGGACCTCCTAGCGCAATCGTGGAGTAAGTTCATACTTCTTATTATGAGGCTCATATCGTTCCTCTTAATAACACGTTTGATAAGCTGTGCACGCTGCCCTCTTATGCAAACTTCCATCCTATGCCTCCCAGAAAAGCTTTGCAGATGGGTGGCTGACTTTCTCTCTGGCCGCAAGATATCCGTCGTAATTAACGGGTTCTCCTCTTAATCCCACGACTTCAACGCCGGTGTTCCCCATGGATCGGTCTTGGCTCCGACATCCTTCCTCTTACAAATCAACGACCTCCTTTCCTGTACGATCAACCCAATCCACAGCTTCGCTGATGACAGCACTCTACATGCAGGAATTCAGAGTGACAAGCCGATCTTTGCCGCTGAGCTGAAAAAAAGAAGACTAGCGACGACTTCCTCTCTGACGAGAGACCTGGAGGTTATCACTACTTGGGAAAGCAACAATCTTGTACATTTTAATGCTTCCAAAATACAGTACTGTACGAGGACGAAAAAAAAAGCGTCCGAGCGCTCAATCGGTTTCGATGGATGAACGAGTTCTGCCAAAGAGCCGTTCATTTCGACTGGTCGGAATCCAGATTAATTATACCCACTTACATAATTAGATTTTACATTACAATTTTGTAAAATGTTTGTTTTTCAAGTGTAAAATAAATTTACGAATATTTTTCTGACTTGTTTTTAAACACACTCATAGTTGGGAATTTGTCCCATAACATTTGACTTCAGAAGTCGATATTAACGTTAATATTCTATTGAAAAATGAAGGCGTTTATGTTACTCATTAATGCTATTTTCTGGCAAATAAATCATGGCCTACTTAGAAAAAAACTAATAGCATTACTTTTTTTATACTCCAACTGCCACAAAGACCTAAGGCCTAAACACCCATGGTACCGTGGGCTATAGGGGGATACAGGGGACAGGGGGAACGCCACACGGACTCTGGCGAGGGAGCACGTGTGCATGCAACATGCACACATTCTGGCCCCGCCTACGATATCCACCGGTGGTACCTCTGCGTTCGACAGTCAGAGACCGTCTACAACCTACGGACAATCACACCATCCATAGCCAAGAGAAAAATTTTCTCTTGGGACGGGATTCGAACCCACGCAGCGCACGGCGACTGATCAGGAGGCCGAAGAGTCTACTACTGCGGCCACCGCTGCTGTCTAAAGCTTGTGATGATATTTCGGTTTTCCAATCTTTTATGCACTTGTAAGATATCACTAGACTGGAAATTTTACACTCTTTTCAAAAATCATAAGATCCAATATGGCGGTCATAAGAAAAATGAAAGTTGAGGAGGGTAACTGGAAAACAAAAGACGATTAAAACTGTCTGAATAAATTCACATTTTGACAGCTATCAAATTAACTGTTTTGGATTCACTGTCAAAAAACGAATTCCGCCATTTTCGGTTTTTCGCTGATATTTTCAAAACCAATTGATCGATCGTAAAGCTGAAGCCGGCTATCGCAAGCACTAAGTTTCCTCTAAAACTGCCCCACTTAACCTTTGTTGTAGATATAACAGGAGTCGAGATCCCTGTATAGAGAGGCGAATCTGGGATTCACTGTATATTAATCAAATGGGTTATGTACTGTGGACTAAAACCTAAATCATGGACAATCAGTAATTATGGTCGTAACGTCAGAATACCTTAAGGGGACAAGTAAATTAAGTATGAATACTTCGTGGTCATTTCAAAATATCAGCAGGCCGTAAAAGGTTAAGCGAGTGCCGCCATTTTCAGCACGTCTTATCATACTCAAGTTATAAAGTACTTTTTATAATTTAAATGATATTTTGATTTTTTCAGATGTTGGCTTTGCTGTTGCTTACCATATTTCTGCGTTCCTCCAATAGTCCGGCATTATTGTCCTCGCTGTGGTGCATATTTAGGATCATGCAGCTAATAAAGCTATTATTCTAACGACATATATGTTAATTATTTCATCTATTCTATACTATTCTTTGTTACTCTTGCCACGGCGGCTCGTAAGATTTTTTAGAAGTAATAAAAAGTCACTCCATTTTCCGTAAAGAAAGATGCTTATCAGACGATAGTGAGCAGGACCGTGGCAAATGCTTGTTCCGCAAGTTGTTTTATTCAGTATGCAACTTCTTCCCGTTTAAGTGATTGTAACTGCGTTAAGGAATACCTCAGTACCAATAGCCAGGTGGCGGTACAAGTCCTGCCAACGGGCCACTTTAGGTCTATTTAGCATCACTGACATGCAAAAAGAAGGTGGTAGATAAAGACCAGTCGCCCGAGACAGTACCACCCGCTAGCTCTACCAGGGTGCCTTAAGAATGTCCGCAAGTTTTTTCCACACCTAAGCTATGAAGTAACTTATCTTCCCCAACAAGGAAATTAATTATGATGGATTCCTCGAGTACTAAGAATGCCGGACGTAAACTCGCTCCACTCTCGGGTGTCCTGGTGGAGGGTGGGCTCGAGGGAACAACATCGATGATAAAAGTTATTTCACGAACATCCGCGGGATTAACAGCGACATTGCTGCTGTTCATCACTACCTACAGTCTAATCGTGCCGCTATGCTTTTCTTGGCGGAGACAAAAATCTCCGTTGCTGCACCGATTAATCATATTAGCTTCCCAAATTAGACCGGAAGAACATTCTGTGACTTCGCCCCAACTGCAAAACATCACCCAACTTTATTTGCCGCCTTTATCGCTCTCCCTCGCACCCTAACTGGGATGACCTACTCGAATACCTCGCTGTCAAAATCGATTTCCTGAACATCAATCACCTCGTTTCATAAGTAGTTCTTCTCGGTGATTTCAATGCTCATAATGAGCTTTGTTTGGACTCAAACAAGACCGATGCAGCAGGTCGTGCTTGAAGCGTTCGCTATGACCCAGCTAGTGATGAGTCCTAATACTCGTATGTTCCCCGCGTTTCATCACACGCCAGTAGCCTGCTTTCTGACCACGCATTCTGTCCCTTACAGCACTGTTGTCCTGTCTCCCCTGGGCAACTCAGATCGCGGTGTTGTGGAAGTTAGATTTCTGTTAGTATCCGCTGTGGCAGCATAAACCCGTCCAGGCCACAAATTTGGCATTACAGACATGACGACTGGGAGACACGCAGAGACTTCTCCTCCACCTTTTCTTGGAGAGATCTTTGTTTCGCTGAGGCGGATGCATCGATAACCAAAATTATCCACGTTGGGATGGATACATCCCTCATACATTAAAAATGCCTAAACCAGGGTCCAACGTTCAACAAATCGTGCGACACTGCTCAACAGCAGAAGATCAAGACACACATAACTTTCTTACAAATCGCTGTATGATCCCTTGGGAGGTAGTACTAGTTCCGAGGAAGGTACATTGTGTTTTCTGATGGACACACACTTTCCATGCAGCAGCGCAGGCCCCCAGGGGAAGACTGGCTTACGGAAAGGGAGATTGTCACCTTCGAAAGGATGGTGTACGCGATCGATTTGTTTGCTCCATGCGGTATTACGTATCTTTAAAAGTGACATTATGTCGATTTTTTTGACATTATATTGTTTTTTGTGACATTATGTAGGCTTTTCTACAAGATGTTAACTTAGCACTAGCTGATGGACACTTGTTGTGAACTCGTTTTGTAGTTGTACGTGTTGCCTAAACGTCATAATGCTTCATTTATCATTGTTTGGCTCTGATGTGAAGTAAAATCTGCTTCAGAGATGGCATTATTGGAGGTCTAAACTGTAAGTTGTATACTACAGCTAGAAGGAAACGGCAGCGCACAGGTGCATAGTGAGGATTTGTGTGCTAATAACATGTGATGATGATAATTCCATTAGTTTCTTGTCTCAAACAGTTGCGCATCCACTTTTTCTTATTAATTTTGAAATTATATATGCAATTTGCATAATTTCGATAATGAGAGAGATGAGAAAAGAAAATCACTAGTTGGTAAAGGTAAAGGCGAGAAAATATGCTATAGACAGGAATATTTATGAAAGTGAAAAGATTGTTACGATGTTGCGATGTCAATATAAAATACAATTAGCGCCTAGCTGTGAGGCATTGCGAAATTTTTATGTGTGATCCTAATTTTTCTGTGATGTAGCTTAATTGCACTCAACGCGAGCACCGTGGCGATTTCCCGTCCTCAAAGTTTTTGAAAACACAAAAAAGGGACAGCAACATATTCAGTAATAATTTTCTCATACAGCAAATATCACTGATTTTATACACATGCAGACCAATATCATATAATCATCCAGATGCGATCTTGCGATTCAATCAACATACTTTCTTTCACATATTCTCTACAGACTACTCGGCTTCACAAAACATAAATATGTACTTGCTTCCTGCAACCAACAATGCGTGTAGTTGAGTAATTCCTCCATAGAGCTAGATACTATATACTGGTCCGAAAATTTTTCTTCCGATTACCCTTTAATCTTTTGTGCTTAAGACGTTGGAAATGATAGTTGACAGATTTTTGAGAGATGGCCTACTGGAAAGGTGCCATTCATTCAATCAGTTTGCATACCAAGCTGGGAAATCGACTAATCTGGCCTTATATATGTACAATCTGGTCGGTTATAGATAAGCGAGAAGAGGCACTCGTGGTTTTTTTTTGGACATTGAAGGTGCATTTAATTGCATTACAACCGATTCTATCAGACATGCCTTGATTAGGCACGGGGTTGGATCAATTCTAATAGATTGGGTCCTATCCACTCTGGAGGGTTGGGTAGCAACAGCGATGCTGAATGACGTAAGCTGCAGCGTGAGCTTAGCTAAGAGGCTGCCCGCATTGCGGAGTTCTGTCACCCCTACTGTAGTGCCTCCTGGAGAACCAACTCCTCGTTAGGCTCAGCAGTGCCTATGCTGACGTCTTAAGCATAGTAGTTAGGGATCGTTTTTCTAGAACAGTCTCTGAGATTATGCAGGGTGTTCTGCGCACTGTGGAATCGTGCTATAGGAAAGTCGACCTTTCTGTCAACGCTGGAAAGACCGAGCTGATTCTATTCACTAGGAAAAGAAGGCTTGACGAGCAGGTCTTGCCGACCTTTTCTGGGACTAGATTAGTTCTATCCCAATCAGTAAAATATCTAGGAATTATCCTGGACTGTAAACTGAACTGGAAAGGGCATGTTGAATATAAGGTTAACAAGGCTCGCAATTCAATGTTGGCTTGCAGACGTGTTGTCGGTGTAAGGTGGGGGCTTAAACCCATAGTGGTACACTGGCTCTCACGACGATAGTACGTCCATCTCTCTTGTACGGCTCCGTGGTTTGGTGGCCAAACTAAATAAAATTCAGCGCTTGGCCTGTATTAGTATTACAACAGCAATGCGGACAACGCTATTGAGTGCACTGGAAGATCTGCTGGATCTCCCACCGTTGAATCTAGTGATCCGCGGTGAAGCGAGAGTAGTCGCACAACGACTGTGGAGGCAGGGTAGCTGGGCCTTCTTGAATCCTGTCAAAGGTCACACTACCATCTTAGTCGAACAGCAAAGGGAGGAGATCCTGTCCTTCTGAGCAGAGGTGATCTAATTACCCCAAAATATCGCATCAACCGCAAGTTTAATTTGGAGTATCCAACGAGGGCAGAGTGGGACGCCGGAAGCCAGAAACTCTCTGGAGTGAGTGGGCAGGTCTGGTACATGAACTGCTTGGTCTCCGAAGAGGGTTCTGGCGCCGGAGTCTCTGGGCCTAGAACTAGGCTATATTTGCTTCTTGGTGGATACACCACTATTTCCCTTGTGTGAGCGCTGCGGGGTAGAGGAAGAGACCTCGACGCACGTAGTGTGTCGCTGTGAGGCTTTGAGCTACTACAGGCAGACTCTACTGGGGTCCAGCACTTTGAACCTCCAGGACGTTAAGGAACTTGGACTCAATGCCCTACTCACTTTGCTAGATTGGCGAGGCTTGACTTCTAAGGAATGTAGAGGTGCATAATGGCCCGTTTGAGTGGCCTATGCGCCGGTTCCTTATGGTGGCATGCATCTAATTTCATGATTCATTCATATATATCTGCGGAGTCGTTTCTTTTTTTTCCTTTTCAAATCAGCTTGGCTTTTTCGGAAGTTAGTCTGTCGTGTACTTGTAAAGATTATTCATTATTTTCTTGTGTTCGCTGAGTTTGAAATTTGGCTTTGTCACGTTCAAAACGCGAAGGTGTTCGATCAACGTAGAATGAAATCTCTCTACGATCGAGTTTCTATATATATATTGTTTGGTAATATTTAATGCCAATTAATATTGTTCAGTTTCGAAAAATCTTTCAGAAGATTCTGCGTGAATTCTGTACCGTTATCAGAAGTAATGTTTTCAGGAAATTTATACGAAGAAACAAATTGTAAGATGCTTTGGTAAACATGCAAGGTAGATAGACTTTGTAAAACATAGGTTTGAGCAAATTTCGAAAAACTATCACAAATTGTCAAAACAGTGATATTCTCAAATTTGTAAGTATCTATAAAAATTGTTTCGAATGGCTTTTTGGATGTAGGTGTCAAATGAAATTTGATGAGCGGAAGATGACGTTCAATATTTTGTTTGTTGGCAAATAGGACAGCAAAATTTTTAACATCACCCGATAACTTGAGCCAATAATATTTTTGCTTTAATGTACTAATAGTCTCGGTAATGCCTCGATGATTTGTTATACCTTCATGTTGGTTCTTTAAAAGTTCTTATTGACGATTTTCCCTTATATCGTACAACAAGGTATTGGACTTGAGCAGTTTGAAAGTCGAATTTTTGAAAATGCGAGAAATAAACACAGACATGTTTTCGTACAATATTTGGTCATCGTCGTTTTGAAAATAAAATACATACTGTCTTTTTGGTACACCATACTCTTTTAGAAACGAAATAAACTGATTTTAAAATTATTCGTTAGTAGTGTAGATAATCCAACGTGTACGTACTACTAGATTTGCGAATAGCTTTTTGATT